TTTTTTTTTTCTTTTTTTTTTTTTAAATAAATATGAACAAATTTAAAAAAAAATAAAAGAAAAGTGAAATAATATAAATTTTTACATATAAATATTTCTTATTTTGGTTTATATATATATATAAATAATTTTTTTACTTATATTATTAAGCGGGGCCGGGACGGGGGTGGGAGCGGGCCGGGTATTAACATCCCCGCCCCCGATTTTATCTATTGGGGAAAACCTGAACCCGAACTCGATAAACATGGGTTTTCCCCGTCTAAATCGGAGCGAGTTCGGGCGAGTTCTCACGGGGCGGGTTAGATTGTCATGCCTACTCGTGATATTGCAAAATAATATATTTATCCTTTAAAACATCATTATGAGAATAATACATACTATAATGATCAATTTTCTAAAGATATAAGGTAAAAAAATTAGATGATAAAGACATATTCAATTTAATATAATTAAAAGATATAATCCTAGTAGTATATAATGTTTGAGACTAAATTGAGAGAATTAGATTTTCATTGATAATCTAACTTTTATGCCATGAATAAGACTACCTTAGGTTTTATACTAGAACATTGACACCTATCGTGGGGTAGAGGTAAAAACCTTTTTTCGACACCCCAAGAATTTTCTTTGTCTAGTAACAATGGTATAAACAAGAAATAATGGGAGTACCTCCACCCATAATATGAATGCTACTATCCCTAGTGATGAAAAGGGAGGGGATCCCTCATGGGAGCGAATTTGAGCAATGTTGACAAAGATGTAACAAGAGAATTTCAGTGCAAAGAGAAAGGTAGAGGAAGCAAAAATTGTAACGACTTGACAAGTCCCTATGTGACACCCTCTACCCCAACATTAATACACAATAAATGTAAACAATAATTTTTTTTTCTTTTTGAGTAAATAAATTTTTCATAGTTTGATATCATCTTTCATGGATAAAACAATTGTCTCAAATATCATAAGGTAGAAGATTCACATTTGTAACTCATAAATCATAAAAAGTCAACATGTAAGTGTCAAAACTTAAGAAATCATATAAAAGAAAATATAGATTAATCCTAGCAAAGGTGGCAGTGCCTCCTAGTTAGGAATTAATTTATAATTTCCAAATCATGCAATAAAAATAATATGACAAAGATGCACATTTTGGTCTTTTATCAAGAACGTTCAAAATTACAAAAGAAAAGAAAATTAAGGCTTTTAAAACAATAACATCCTAAACTAAGCCTAGCTATGCTCGATGTCACATCCTATCAGAGCATGCCCAACTAAAGCCTTAAGGCTCATCACCAACATCCTCATGATGATAATCACCTACAACATAATTTAAACATATACAAGAACAACAAGGGAGTGAGAAACATTTCACTTAGTTTCAGATGCAGAAATAAAAGTTAGATAGCACACACTCACAACAAATATAAGTCTCATGTAAACATTACACATACATAATCAAATATCAAATGTACACTCATTTATCATGTTATGATGTCATGGACTCGACTTATAAATATATGCATGTGGCGCCATAAGGAAGTTTTACATTTCATCACTGGTGACCCTAAGGTATACCTGGTTACATCACTGGTGACCCTAAGGTACACCTTGTTAGCTTGTTACATCACTGGTAATCCTAAGGTACACCTTGTTAGCATGTTACATCAATGGTGACCCTAAGGCACACCTTGCTAGCTTGTTATATCACTGGTATGCGGCCTCAGCGAAACACTTGGAGTCATATATGTATATGATGCATGTCATACATTCATTATTTCATACTCAACATTTGATTTATTACAGAATTTCATTTAGTACATCATGTCATCATTTTTCATATTCTTATAATCATAACTTGTCTCAATAGTCCATTCTTATGTCTCATGTCATTTGTGCATATTTCACATAGTCATGTGATAATTGTTCCTCCAAAAGGTCCGCACAAGAATCCACAGAGAGCATTCTTAAACTTATTTATTTTTAACATTAATTACATATTCATTCATTACTTCTAACAAGGAACAAAGTAGAACAAACAGAAAATAAAACAGAACACATTAATACTTTGCATGTTCATAGAAGCATGCAACAGGCAAGGGATTGGGGGTCAATCCGACAATCAAACTATCCAACAATTATTCCCACACCCCAGAGCGAGGTTTCTCACTCCCCCCTACCTCGATAAACAGGAGCTGAAACTTGAGCAGGACCTTGTTACTCTCTTCCTCTGGACTCTCTCTTTCTCTCTCTCTCTTTCTCTCTTTCTCTCTCTCTTTCTCTTTCTCTCTCTAGAATTTTACCTTCTCAGTATAATTTTTTTCTCACCCCATGCCTCCTATTTATAGGCATTCAAGGGTACCCAGAATGGCCCGTACTGAATCCAGAACGGCCCGTTCCGGAGCCATGCGTTATAGGCAAAATTTACAACTGGAACGGCCCGTTCTAGGGTTCATGTTAACACTTATTGACCATAGTTGGAATGGCCCGTTTCCAACTAAGGTTTTTAGGCAATTTTAGAATCTTGGAACGACCCGT